AATGAAGCATTGAAAGATATGTCCATTCTGCTACTGATCATATTCCACAACAATTACATGAATCATACTCAAGTCCTCAACATGATATATATATATATATATATATATACACACACATCAAGACTGGGAGAATTTCCCAAGAAAGAACAGCCTTTTCTCTCTTAAGAACCATTTCTGCTGTGATCTTATTTGTTCTCTAAATTCTTGTTGATGATCTTTTTTAAGGTATATGATCTGTTTGATAGACTTATATCCTCTTAGAGATGAACCTTTAATATCTTGATCTTTAATATCTTCAATCAAGAAGATTATGATATCCAATTTATTATTTTTATTTTTATGTATTTATTTTTTTGGGGGATAGATATTGTCTTATAATATATACAAAATGTTTCTAAATTAATCAAATTTATTTGATGAAAAAATAAAATAAATTGGATATGCATCATATACAATAATCATCATTCTGGTCTCTCTCAAATGAAGAAAATAAACCTCCGTTGAGAACTAAGCAATGTTGTAATGGAAACCGAAGGAATCAAGCCATTGCCTTGGCCGCTACAGCACCACCTTCCATCACCTCCTGCGCCACCATACTTCTGCTCCTGTTGATGGTGATCAGGCACAAGTAGACATGCTCCTCCAGCTCTTCCAGCTGCTCTTCCACCCGCGCCGCCCCGCCCTCCACCTCCCTGGCCACCTCCCTCGCGAGCTGCAGCTCCCTGCCCCTTAACGCCATCCTCGCCATCTCCCGCTCGTGCTCCACCTCGTCGTGCGCCCGCCGCACCGTTCGGCTTATCGTGTCGAAGTCCCTCCCCACGATGTACGCCCCCTTGGCGGCGGCGCCCACCTGCGCGCCCAGCCGCTCCAGGTGCCTCGCTCTCGCCGCCCTCCCCCGCCTCATGGCCGCCCGCGGCCGCGTCGTCATCACCATCGGAGCTGCCGCCGCCACGACCCCGATCCCGATCACCGTGTGCGCCGCGATCGCCAGTGCGGCCGCCACGGCGATGCTGCATGCGCTGACGACTACGATTCTGGCGGCCTTCTTGGTTAGCCTGATGAGTCGCACCATTCTGAGGGTTCTCCGGTGGGCTTTCGTCAGCTGCTGCATCAGAGTTCTATACTGGGATTGCACAGAGTAAAACCGGGCAAGGTTTGCCGAGCAGAGTGGGTTCTCCAGCCGAAGGAGAGAAGCGAGATGGTCGACGTCGGCGCAACAATCATTATCATCGAAGCAAGCAGATGATACCTTGGCGAGAAGATGGCGGATCGAACGGTGGTGCTCTCTAGCGCGGCTGAGGGAAGCCAAGAGCTTCGCGCATGCATCACAGGCCTGGAAGGTGACATCAAAGTACTCGAGGAGGAGGGAATGGGCTCGGAGGTGGGCGCTGCGGCCATGAACGGTGGCCATCGCTGCGACAAGGGATTCTTGACTGGGTTCAAGAAGGTTGGCGTATGAGACATGAGAAGAGTCGGTACATGGGCTTGTATCAAGATGACTCGCCTCCTTCCTATCCTCGTCGCCATCGTCACCGTCCTCCGAGGACGAGGCGATAGATGAGACAGTCCGCTGGGGCTGTACTCGATGGACTCTGGACCACATGTCAAGGAAAGACTTGGTTCTGAGAGTCTTCTCGTACTCCTCGTTGACGTTTAACGGGGTGGAAGAACCGTCAGCGTTGCTCGCCATGAACAGCTCTTCTCCTGTAGGTAACGAAGGAGCTTCAGTGTTACTACTCCATAACGAGGAAGTCTTAGCTACGTGATGTTACTCACCAGTTGCTAACGAGTTGCAGGATTTGGATGATGAAGAAGGCATCAACTTCCACCACATCGTCATGTCTTCTCTATCGGTCATGCAGCGAGTTCAAAGCTTCAAAGCATCAGCTGCGCTGCTGTATATATACTGCAAGAAGGAGAGGAGGATGGAGAAGGGCAGGCACGAAGGAGGCAGTTGCTTTAAAGGCAAGGGAGAGGGGGGGAGAGAAGGGGAGGCGGCAACGAGGCCACGCCGCCACAAAACCGAAGCCGCGGCACACGTAAGAGAGCTGCCCATCTCCTCCGCCACGCGCCTCCATCTCACTCTCTTCTTCCTCGCCTTCCCTTCCATCCCCTCCTCTTCTTTCCTCACCAAGCAAAGCAAGTCCTGTCTGTAGCATTCACAGACACGTAGCTTCTGCCAAGGAAGTCACAGTCAATTTAGTGGCTCCTCCTTCTTCACGTAACTATCATGTGGTCAACGTGAACCCTAAAATTAATGGTACTTGACGCAGTTTACGACATGACAATATATTGCATTTGTTGCAGAAAATAATAGAAACTTCGATGAAATCTGATCTAAAAATCATTCTTTACACTAATATATATATATATTAGGGTGAAATAATACTAAATTATTATATATATATATTATTATTTTTTTATTTTTTTAGAAAAAGATAAGTGACGAAGACACGAATTGATCGAAAGATCATATTATTAATATTTAAAAATTTTATCAACTAAATTAATTAATATTTAAAAAAATTATGAGATAAAAAAATTTATTAGACGAAATTTCGAACATTCCACCTCACCTTTGGTAGCCTATAAAAATGCTGCATTCAAACCTAACAATTTTCTAGCCAAATATTTACCAAGAGCTAATGATTGAAATGTTAATAAAATACTGCCATAATAATAAAATCATGCCATTGATTATTGCAAATCTGTAAGTAATAAATACTGCAACACTATGCTGTTATATTATTTTTATTGTTGTAAGAGAAGGAAGACTGTCTTGCATTGATTTCATGATCATTAGTTGTAATTAATGATTGCAGAGGCAGATGATTGAAGGAGAATAGGGATCACAAGCTTTAGGGAAGATGACAAATTGGCTTTGATTGGAATGGAGTGCACATAAGTAGCCACACATCATTTCATGAATCCCGGCAACAATTATATACGTGAATGAATGAATGAGCTTCGCAGAGAATTTGGCAATATTGGGGCCCAAATCATTGGCTTGTTGGTGACTTACTTGGTTCATCCAATTTCCATTGCTCAAGAAAAAGGATTTCGTGCGATGGCCGGCAAGTAAACAGAAGACTCGGAATACATGCAATATGATCTGATAACAAGAGGCTAATGATATTTGGGAGTTTGCTTTAGTGATGATTACGATAAATATCAACTCATAAACTTATCGAACTCATATGCAATGGTATCATGTCATTGCAACTAAATGATAGTGATTCACAGAGCTTCTACTTTACGTACGTCCGTCTAAACGTGAAATGGTATCGGGCGAAAAATGTTTTGAGATCGTCGATTCAGAGCTACGTCGAACCCTGCAAAATTGTGTTCGACATTTCTCATAAAACTTCTTCGAAACTTAAGTTAATGTTTAAGTCGCATAATACACTACGATGCGATCGTGTTATGCATCTTTATTATTGTAAGATTCAATATCATTGAGCTTGCGGTCGTGGTTTAGTATTGAAAATGATTATACATCTTTACTGTTATGGGATGCGATCGTGTTATGCGAAATCCAAAAAATATGATATGATCATAAATACGTTCCAAAAATGATAATATATTTCTCGATAAGACATTGATCATGTGATAGTGAGGTATTGATAATTAGACACTGAGGTGTTCATCGTAAGACACTCAAATATCGGTCATACGATAAAGTGTTGACCAATGAACTTCACTTGCATCATTATACCCATGTATTTCTAATAAAAAATTATTGGGACGTAATTATTATACTATTCTTAGCTTTCATAATGTCCTATCTCTCTCTATCTCTCTCTCTCTCTATATATTATATATATATATATATCATTCCATAACCAAAAAGAGTGGAGATGAATGAGTATGGAAACCCATATTAATGGTCATACTAATCCAAGTTTTAGGAAAACAGGGGGCAATCTTCCCAAGAAAAATCACAGTAACTCATTCATAGATCACTTTAACATGCATGCACTGACTTCTACATCACCAAAGATTCTTCCTAATCTGTAACCAAATCAAAGAAGATATGATGGCCTAAAAGACACCCCACCATCCACACACCAAAAGCTGCTCCACAACTTCCAATGTTCCAACCCGTCAACGAATCTTTGTACCACCATACAAGAATCTTTCGATCACCGTCCACAGAGAACACGTTTTATGGGTCGATCTTATTTATCGAGAGCATACGAGGATTAATAACATGGTAGATGAGCTGAAACCATAATTATTGTGGAGTAGCACAGTGTTGCCGAGCTATGCTTGGTGGTGAAGGTAACGAAGGTGATGATGGAAGCCGAGCTGCTGCTGCTGCTGCTCCGCTGCTTGTGCAAGCCCTGACCACCCTTGCGGATCTCGCGTCACCTCCAGCAATGAGTCCCTCACTCGATCTGCTTCCACAACTTGGGCATCTCTTCTCTGCAAATGGATCGTCCATGGATTTAAGTAAGCTCGATTTACATGAGATTTTAGCCTGAGAGTTCGATCGTATCCACCTCGACTCTGAAGACGTTCAAGACTAGGCTTTCGTATGAGGTGACACTGGCGTCGGTCACTTCCAGTCCGAGGGAGCTCATCGCCTCCATCAGCCTCGCGAACCCTCCTTGCTTGTGCTCGCACAGCACCTTTACGAAGAACTCGTTCGCCTCCAGTTGCCTCACCTCCACCTGTGGCTGCTCATTTGCATCTAGATGCAGTAAGGAGGGCTTTCTTGCGTTGCGGCGGTAGAACATGTAAAGATGATCGATCACCTCCATCTGCTGACCCTTGTCGGATGATGGCTTGTTATCGTCGGCTGCGGCGACCGTCCTCGGATTGTTCCCGGAATCGTCGTGATCCGTCCACCCATTTGCGATCGGGACATCCATTTGGCCGTTGCTGTTGTGGAGGTTGCTTCCGATCTGCTTGTCGTGGCCGGCGTCCTCCTGATTCGTCTCCTCCAGCTCGTCCTGCAGATCCTTCACTTGCTTCTGCAAATCCATCACGTACTCGATGGCGTCTCCTAGTATCGAAGCCCTGTCCATCTACCCATCGCCAACATTTCTGTCATTAGCATCGTTCGACGAAGTAAGGTATATGATCCTTCGGCTAGAAGATGATTCACAACCTTTGTGATCTTTGGAACCAGCGCGCGCAGAGCAAAGAGCCGATCGTTGAGCTTCTTCCTCCTCTTCCGCTCCGCGAAGAGGTTCTTCGAGCAGTGTTGCTTACCGGACCTCCTCGCCGGCCGGTGCTCCTCGTCGTCGTCGCTGCCGTCCGAGCCCGACTCGGTTCGGGCGCTGCCTTCCATCTTCAGCGACTCCTTACCGTGGCCAACCATCTCCCCAAAATTGTGATACGCCGGTGCGTCGTCCGGGATGCCATCGTCGACCATAGACTCCGACAGCGGAGGTGGAGGATTGCCGCAATGGAAGAAGTTCCTGGTAGAGCCATCGTGGAGGATGTCGTCATCCATCGTCCTGTCGAACAAGTTCGACTGGGTGGCGTAGAGATCCCAAGGAAGAGCTTGAGCGCCTGTGGCGACTAACTGCGGGGCAAGCCATGGCTGGGAATCATCCCCACCACCACCGCCACCACCACCACCACCACCAGCACTCGGGTATCCACCGTTATCAGCCATGGGCATATCGATGGAGCGGTCGTAGGAGTTCGAGGTGCACTGAGACATCATGAATTCTACGGTGTGCAAGATCTGCCTCTGTCAGTGCATGACATGCAAATCTTCTTTAAGTCTGTTTAGAACATAAAAGAGTGTTCCTCAAAGAAGGAAAACAACTTGGTCATTCGGATGGTGTGTGTGAGCTCTCAGTGGATTGATCGAGGAGGAAGTTAGGAAACACTTTACGTGCTTCGAAACCAGCAGCTCAACAAGCCCACCGGGCATGGGAACCAAGACATGTGTTCTAGCTCTCACTCTTCTCTGCAAGTCCGATTACCACAGGCTAGGAGAAGCAGAGGGTAAAGGCAAATCGCATGGAAGAAGTGATCAAGAGAAATGAAACCTTGGGAGCAGTAACAGCAGGAAAGCCTCCTCCGTTCACTGCAACAACAGCCATTCCACTCTCAAGAACTTGGGACATATGAGTGACAGATGATAGCTCAGCAGATCATACCTCAAGCTAGAAAGCCTCTTGGATTAATTGTTAGAGAGATATCCCATGCCAGAACATGTAATTTCTCTGGGAACAACTTCGAAACCAGCTACAAGCATAGGAGGGAGGATATGGATGTCAGTGAGGGAGGAGAGGCAATAAATCTCAAAAGCAAAGTTGTAGTTGTGGTAGCAGAAGTAGTAATCCAGTCAGGGGAATCCTACACACTTACTTGTAGAACTCTTCCCCCTTCTTTATGGCCTCTTTGACTGTACTGAGAATGTAGAGAGATAGTGATAGAAAGGTACGAGAACATGCAAGGAAGAAGCGAATCATCTGATAGCTATAGGTAACTGCAGCATCCTTTGGGGGACAAGAATGGATGCATGTCATACCACACCATGTGGCCTCTGAATTAGACTTAGACTTCTTTCCCCAGTAGTCATAGAGAAGTAGAAAACACTTGATTCCATGTGGCCTTGGAGACCTTCTAAGGTCGATTGCACTGCTATTGAAGTGTGAATAACCTGTAGTGATTAGAGAAGGAACTAATATTACTATTTTTAGAATGATAATGGCAAGATTTTCTACTCAGATATTCTCATCATATATATTTTATATATTATATTGTATTATTTTGCCGTGCATGCCAAAAGAAGTCGATTACATTTATCCTTCTTTTGCTCACTGGTTTGGGACTGCGTGGGAAACGCCGTCACATTGGCCATGGCTACTGAACTGACAGAAGCTGAACTCACTTGCCATTGCTGCTCCTGAAGGAGCTCGAAGCCTTCACTGCCGCGGCCAGCGCTCCGGCGAACGGGCCCACCCAGAAGATCCATTGCACCACCGCAACTCCAATCACATGAACAAGCTGAGTGCTAATCCTAAAAGCAAACCAAGTGCGGCCTACGAGTTCGGCGGACAATTCACGTGATCACGCCATGCCTTGCGCTGGTCGTACAGTACCGCCGCTCCGAGACTCCTCGCCGGGTTGATCCCCGTCCCCAGGTGGACGGTGAACACCGCGAACCCGATCGGCAGTGGCGCCATGACCTGCACCGCATGCAGCTCCGAAGCGTTAGTGGGAACACACTCGTGGAGGAGATGCAGTGTGGCGATTGGTGCAGACCGGGACGTGGGAGTCGCGGGCGCTGCGCTTGGGGTCGGTGGCCGAGAAGACAGTGTAAACGAGCACGAAGGTGCCGATGATCTCGGCACCGAGAGCGGTGCCCTGGGAGCAACCTGCGGCCACTTGGTTGGCTCTGCCGCCGAGGGAGTTGTAGGGGTGATTCATGATCCCCTTGACGATTCCGACGCCGCAGATAGCTCCCATGCACTGCAACACCATGTCAAGCACCGCGCGCAGCAGCGAGATCTTCCGCCCCAGCAGCAGCCCGAACGAGACCGCAGGATTGATATGCTCACCTGGAAGAAGTCGCATCCATGAGTCGCCTTGAGATCAAAGGAGAAGAAATCATATGCGTGAGAGAGAGAGAGAGAGAGCGGACGGTGCAGTAGGCGAGGATGGCGCCGCCGAAGGCCCAGGCGAGGCCCGGTAGAAGGACCATCGGCGAAGCTCGTGGAAGCCGAACAGAGGCGCCGGTGGCGGGTCTTAGTAGTCCACCGGTGGCCGCTCTGCCTCCGCCGTTCTTCTCCAAGGAGTGGTAGCTTGAGATTTATAGTGCAGGGAGGGATTAAAATGGCATTATACGATGCTCATACAAGCTTTGGATAAGATTGTTTTTGGCCCGCAAGGATTGAGCCCCGACAATGTTCAAGTTCCCGAGGTGATGGAGCTGTGCCCATCTGAGCAAGAAAGGGTCGAGTGGACTTGATTCATGTTATTTATATCGAACAAGAAATCATGTTCTTATAGAATACATATACAAAGCTGGAAGAAGTAATCTTCCATTGAGATGAAGTCTTGTTCTGTCTGCGGACCATTGAGGATCCGCTTCAGTCATTGTTTTATTTCGGACCATGCAACTATCATCTCAGTCGTCCATGTCCACTATGATAAGGGCCAGCACGACGATCGCTGCTTGAAATCGTATCGATTTACGTGCATGCGATCCACAGAGAAGACGCCACGTCACGACACGTAGCGGTTGTAAGCACACCATCCTCACCCCCCACCGCAGATTGTTGTCTCATCCAACGGCTCGTGATGGTTCCTACGTCCAAGAAAGATTGATCGAACGGATATATATATATATATATATATATACATGAAACTACTTTGAGATCAAATTTAGTTGTAGGATTCTAATTCCTATTTCCATAGACTTATAAACGAATATTATATTTTAATCCATATAATAAAATATCTTTCTTATTTTATTCATATTTTTATTTTAATTTAATAAGACTATGCATTGATTGGTAGGTGATTTTATGTATATACACACACACTAATTGAGTGAATAAAATAAGAAAAAAATATAAATTTTAAATCCAAAAAATGGTCGAATAGTTTGCATCTTTTAATTCATTATTTAGTGAATCTTTTACTGATTTTTTACCTATGTTTTTTACAGTTATATATATATATTTATGTATAATACATATATATATATATATATATATATGTGTGTGTGTATATATATTTTAAATTTAGAATTTATCACAAAATAATTAAATAGGGGATGAAAGGCAAAGAGGGAAAACGGACAAATGGGTTTGGTGGTGGAGACGATAACGTTAATTCAAGGGATTGTAATCCGACTCCACTGCCTTTGTTACTGCCGACTTAGCAGATCCAATAAATAAAGACCCTTCTTTCGCAGGCAGTTTTAACCCTCGCCTCCGCGCACGCTCTCACCGTCGCAGAGAGAGAGAGAGAGAGAGAGAGAGAGACGCGAAGGTTTCCCTTCGCCCGCCGATCTCTCATCTGATCTCTTGTAATCTTTGGAGAACTCGCACCGCATTCCATCGATCTTCCCTTCCATCTCGTCACTCTTTGTCGAGATCAAATCTTGATTCAGCTTTTTCTTCTTGTATTCTCTCTCTCTCGCTCGTTCTTTTGAGAGATCGCTTCTTGATCGCCGTTGGCGGCGCAACCCTAACCCTAGAATCGACGATCATGACAACGGCCTTCGATCCCTCCACCCCCGCGTCCGCCGCAACCGTCAGACGAACCCCTGCCCTCTCCTGGAGCCGCGTCGTTTGTGGTGAGCCCCGAGCCGCCGCCCCTTCCACCTCTGACCCCGCCGACCGCCCTCCGACTCCTGGCACTGCTGCCGAGACCGTTGTCGCCGGCCGAACGTCTCCCTCGCCGCCGCTGGAGGCCGCGGAGCGTGTAAACGACGGCAATGCGGCCGGACAGAGGCCGGGTTGGAACGTCCCGGCGAATGGGGCGAGCGAGGGGGATTCCGTGATGAGCGTCGGCTCCTGGCCCGCGCTCTCAGAGTTGGCCATGGCCTTCCCCAGGTCATCCTCCTCCTCGCAACACTCCAACGTCCCCGCGGATGGATCGAACGGCGATCCAGTGGTAAGTCAAGTCGTTTTCATGGATCTTACTGCTAGTCGCAACTCGCAAGAAAACTTTGATGTTTATTGTGGTGTTGTTCTTGTTTGCATCCTGGTAGGGGTCTGTGATCGAAACTCCGCCGCCGATGGCAAATTCTAACGATCCTAACCCACGTTCTAGCCCGTGTCGGCCGAATTCCACACCTAGTTCAATGGATACGAGCAGCACTAGCAGTGCTTCATCGACCAATAGTGCACCCGTGTCACCTCAACCAACCCCCACCTTGGAGGAGGCCTTTCCCGTTGGTATGGAAGTAGGCTGGGAACCTTATTCCAGGGATCACAATAGGGTCAATAACACATGGGATCGCAATCGAGGCAGTGGTTTCGCACCACAGCACCATAGCGGCAGTGACCGCCATGGGGGATACAATAGAAACCGGCAGCGAAATAATGGTGGTGGGGGATTCCATCATGGAAACCATGGAAGAAGACAGGATCATGAGTGGGGAGGCTATGACTGGAATGCTTCTCAAGGTTTTAATGGTAGAGATCCACATATGACTACCCCACTGGTTCCTCAGTGGGGCTATTCACGGCCGTTCCTTCAGCAATCCCCATATACTCCAGTTCCATTCATTGGCATTCCTCCGCATGTCCAGCCCTTTGTAGGTGGTCCCATGGGCTTCCCGGGTAAGTAATCTTGTCATGGATTTTATGATTTGCCTTCATCATCTATGTTCCATAATTTTGGCCTTTGTGCTCTTTTTTTCAGATGTTCGTTCTGTCTATTATGTTGCGCCAGTGCCACCTTTTGATCCAATGGGAAATGTGCCATCAGTTTCTCATCAAGCACCAACTGCAGCACGTCCTACTGTGTTTTTATCCCCATTGGATCATACGCGTAATATGTTAATGAGGCAAATTGAGTACTATTTCAGGTATTATATGGTTGTTATACAGGTAATCTGTTAAGGTTTGATTTTGTTAGTTCATTCTTTATCTTTTTTTGTTCTTTTGCAGTCGTGAAAATTTGTGCAAGGATTCATTCTTGAGGGTGCATATGGATGACCAGGGCTGGATTCCTGTCTCCTTGATTGCATCCTTCAATCGAGTGAGTAGTTTATGGTTACTTCTCTGATAACCTTCCCTAGTCTTAAATTGACTTCTATTATCCTTTCGCTCTATTTTGATACAAGTAGAGAAGTTGCATTATGTTTGAAAAACGTTTCAATATATATTATATATATGATTATTATGATTTATTTAACGTAGCAGAAATCATTTATGATACGGTTATTATGATTTTTATAATATAGTAGAAATCATTTGTGATTTTCTTTTTCTCCTTTATACTACTGGAGTAACATTGACCCTTTCCATCGGAGGAGTCTTATGCACCGGGTACACCCTATGGATATTTATGATCGTTTTGTATTTGATTTGCACTCTTGTGCTTACAAACTAAATCAACATTTTCTCCATTTTTATGAAAACAATTATCAATATCTATTTAATAAAACTATAATATAATTATATGGAAGCTTAATTTCTCATTGCCAGCATATGATGTGGATTGTTGTGCCATATTGCATGGTGCACCTCAGTATGTTACTTCTAGTTTGTGCTTGATGATGTTGAGAATCAATTTAATTTCTCCCCAGAAGTTCACTTTGGACATGCATTTAAAATATGTTTTAAATATATAGCTATAAATTTTGTTTATGTGGAAATAGTTCATTCATTAATTTCAATGAGAATACCAACTACTGAAGATAAAATTAGGAACTAATTTCTTTGATATATTGAGCAATATACTTTGGATGTTCGTCATTTGAGAATGTTTGTTTATGCTGTTCATATTGTCCATACATAGTATTTTGATCTAAGATTAGATTATTTTGTGTTTCATTAATAGCATATTTGTTTCATAGAGCCAAGGTTCAAAATATGAAATAAAAAAATGTTTTCACTACTCTACCACCATTTTAAAATGATTCTATTTGAATATTTGAGATGTTTCTCACATTTGATGATATTACAACAAGAACAACAACAGAGTCGTAAGTCTCAACTATATGGGGTTGGCACATGAAACCTCTATCGCCATTGAGATATGTGAAAAGTGAAATAAGTTAAGACCAATGTTCATGAGACCAAACGTAGTTTTGCCTTGGCTGTTAATGACCTAACACAATCTTTCACCTTTTTCATCCGAGCTTGGGACCGGCATTGCCAGTGTTACCTTGGATGATGTTATGTTGGTTAATTATTTTTAGATTCAATTCTATGTTTTATTGTGTTGTTAATATCATGGCCTCAAATACTGATATGTACTAATTTGGGCAAAAATGGTCAATATTATTATTTTTTAAATATTTTCTGGGTGATATTGAACTGATATATTAATACCATGGTTAACATTAATGTTAAAATATAGTTCTATATTTGTTAGGGTTTATTTTATCAGCACATACAGCTGCAGTGGTATATGGAAACCTTGTACTTGTTGAAATGGCCAATACAGATTATCAGATCAAGAAAGGACTAGTATGGAACCATATAGTGCAGTGATGGTTGTGATATATATGTATATATGTATATATGTATATATGTATGTATATATATATTGGTTGTTACTGGGCAGCATGGATCATGCACTGTTACCACACCGAGTGCGTAGATTATTGAAATTGGTATAGGACCAAGATTTAAAACCTTATTACAAACATTGAATAATTATTAATAGTCTGTTAATAAAGGTTTCATCACAAGATATTTGTGGTTTTATTTTAAATAATTGTCTATTATTTTAATGTACTAATTACCTAATATTAGGAAATAATCCAGTTAGATTGTCTGATGTCACGATGCCACATAAGACTTAATGCCAAAAACTATGACATAAGTGGTGGAACAATGTGTTTGAGAACCATCAGATGGCATTGCGGGCATGGAGCAAAATTGTGTTTGTAAGCCTTAGATTATTTGTCCTGATTACTGATTGCTCAAGACATCATCAGGCCTTTTGCATCATCACATTCCTGTAAAACCGAAAACCTTATTAGTCCATTTCCTGCCAGGAAATATTGCTTATGGACAGCTTATTATTTGTTTCCTGATCTTTCCGATAAACATTCGTTCTGCATCTAAATGCTACTCAATTAACCACTAAAATAGGTAAATACTTTAAGAAAACAAGGTTTGATCCCTATGTATTGCATGCTTTGGCTTCAGAGGAGTAAGTTTATATATGTTACTAAGTCAGCATGCAACATGTAGAGATGCAAGGGAATAGTTAGTTATATTATTTGTACGTGACCTAAAGCTAAGTGGTATGCAGCTGTGATATGCTTGATCTCATTATGCTAACTTGTGATCTAAAACATACCACTTGAACTACCTTAAACTGATTTTATTGTTTGATATTGAAGAGGTAAGACAATCAGTTGTGCATCCATAGAGTGTACATGGATTTGGCATTCTTGTGGTGGCCATGTGATCCTTTTCTCTTGTGTTTCACTCATTAGTTTAAGGTTTTTTAGGAGTTATCATTAGTTATTAATATTAGCTCAACTTTTAAGGATTGAATTATTAAAATTTAGTGAATAATTTTCTGATTTTTGGTAAATTTGATCATTTCAATAATTGTGGTTGTTTCACTTGAAGTTTCAATGGATTTTAATCTATATTAATTAGGATGATGATTTTAGTTAATAGTGTTCACTTTTTATGGAATCAATTTAATAGAACCTGTTTTGTTTTTGTGATATGGCAATTTCTAGTTTCAACAAAGGTATACTTGAAATTCTAAGTGGTCAAATGTACTTTAGAAGAAAAGCAAAACTTCAAGGTAGATTTGGATTTGGACTAGTCAATTCTAATGTGTAATACCCCCGATTAGTCCCGCATCGGAAGTGGGGAACATTAAGATTAGCTTATAAAGGTCTGTCGAGTGTAACTACTATCAACTTCAGCTTAAGCATTTTGACAAATGGTTTAGATTAAACAAAGTTGATGGGCTAGTTAGCTTATTAGGCTCGAGTCGTGACATTTGGTATCAGAGCGACCTAGTATTTGGGCATGGTGAGGGGGTGCGAGTAGGAAAGGACTACCCGTGGATGGAGTCGGAGGACTCGTCACGATGTGGAGCCACCACCAAGCTATGCCTCACATGCACCATGCTAAGGTTTGATCTAGGCTATGCTGGGTCTTGATGAAGACATCAAACCCTTGAATGGGAAAAAGTATAACACCCCAATTAGTCCCACATCGGAAGTGGACAAGACTAAGATTGACTTATAAGCATATGATGAGTGTACTACTATTAGCTTTAGCTTAAGTATTTTGACCAGTGATTTAGGTCAATTCAGATCTTACTAAAAGAAGACTGCTGACTAGGAAAGATAGCAGACAGAAAGAAAGAGTTACACAGATGTGTGAATGTGACCAATTAAGCTAGGGAATTTTGCTGTTTTGGGGGGTCCTCTAATTGGGCTTCTTGTTTGACTTTTCAGCATTGTTATTAGGAAGAAAACAATGAATTGAATTGAGTTCGGTTCAGTGGAGAGCTTTATATCATTCATTATGTTCTCTCTCTAGATCTCTCTTATGTATCCCTCGGCTTGGTAATTTATATTACAACATGTGTCACTGAGACATGTTGCTCCTGTGGTGGCCCTCCATTACAGTGAGCCTGGAAATTACATCACGTGACAAAAGCTGTGACTTTTATCATTTCTCCTCCCTTTTGCTTGTTTCTGGTAGTTGTTTCTCTTTTTTAGCTTATGTATCTGTTATGATGGGAGCTGAGTGAATACTTCAAGATGTTTTCTTTCTGGAAATGCTGGGGATAATTTTTCAAATATATGCTAGCAAATGCCATCCTCTTTTTCACTGTGCAGTTATCTTAGACAAACCAAAGGTTAATTTCTTTTTATGTATCCCATCTAAATTTTTTTTCTTCAGTTAATTCAAATGAAAAGGAGTAACCACAGAAGGTGTAACATTCAGTGATCTATTTATGTTTCTTGGATGCTTATTCCTGCAGCAGTTTCAGTGAATACCTCTATTTGTATATTTTGTTTGCATCTGAATTCTTGTTTTTGCTATATGCCTTGCAGCAATTTTGGTCTGCTGTTATCATGTGGAAAGTGTCTTTGTTGTTAGTGGCATTGATATTAATATCAATGTTATATTAATGTTTTATTGATGTGGTTCTAACTTTACTAAAGTTATGGCTGTTATGCAATTATGTTTTGAATGGTCTCATTTCTGGATTCTTTTTCCTTTTTTGGTTGTTGTTGTATGCAGGTTAGGCAATTATCAAGTAGCATACCATTTATATTGGATTCGATCCGAGGCTCATTGGTTGTGGAAGTACAGGTAGTAATTACAGCTGTTTTAGCTTTTAGCTTTGATTTCAAATGTCAGAACAGTCTTTATTGAACTTTCTTGACTGTGATATCGCAAACCTCCCCCAAGGTCGGCAAGTTTTGTGCCATTAGTTAGACTTGATTTATGCAAATCTTTTATCTGTCATGACACTGTTATATTCTTACAGAGAGAGTTTATTGGCATTTGGATGAGTATCTTTTAAGTTAAGAAGCCAGAATTTCTTCCTTGGTGTGATCTGGTGCAGGATGAAAGAGTCAGAAGACGCAGCGATTGGATGGATTGGATTCTTCCTCGAGCGCAGGGGCAAAATGGTGTTGTTGCTTCTCCACTTGAGTCTCCAGCAACATCTGCCCACGACCAAAGTCTTGGATTGGACGAGGGTCCATCTTACCGAAGCAACACGATGGGCCAGTCAGGCGCTGAGACAGTACTTGGTAGTAGCTCAGTTGACCGGCTGCCGGATGGAGGTCCAGTAGAGAGCCAAATGGGGGAGGTTGAGGCTACTCAGAATCAGAATGATCCAAGTGTGTGAAAATTTTTTTGATTTGGGAGAATGTGGGCATTCATTGTGAATTGGAGAGCAGTGGCGGGACTTATGGTAATGTTCCTTTGGTTTGAGATTTTTGGTACACTCAAAGGGGAAAAAAAAATAAAAATAAAAAAAATTAAAAATTAAAAAGAAAACATTAAAAAAATCTAAAAGGACAAATTTAGATGGAATAGGTACATGGAATTTTTTATTTTTATTTTTTTTGTCGATGGTGTTTGTTGGATAAATAATTCAGTTTAGAGTCGTCAGAACTTTTGTTTAGAATTTGTGGACAGATGGATATGTGTATATATATCCAGGAATTTTGAATAATGAAAATGAGGTAGTTTAGTGATAAAATTTTTTTTCATTTATTATCATGTTTAAGTAGCATTATTATGTAAATTATGTTTTATATTTTCCCTAACAGATGCCTGTTGTTTATATATGAGAGAACGGATGGATAGATGATAGCCAAAGAATTCAGATTTGTAATTGAGATTGGTCGCAATTTTGTTTTCTTCTTTTCCTATAACGATAAATCCAACTTCGCAATCGTTATTTTGTATCTTTGTTTTGTTTATATGCTGTGGGAGAAGAAGCTTTTGGGGGGAGAATTTATGATATATATTTATTAGCTATCATCTCAAGAAACCCAATAACAGCTAGAATAGAACGGAGAACCTATTTCGATTTACTACACATTTTGAGTCCATGAATCTTGGTCCCAATGAGATTGCCCACTTCGTTGGATCGATCTATCTATTGTTGTTATCTATTATTGTCGAGGAGGACAATGCAAATATGTTAGTAGATCCCTCCTTACATGGCCAAAACACACGAACATTACAAGATACTGATGTTAATATTACGGACTTCCAGTAATCAGCTTGGAGACCGAGTGTTGGGTCTGGTGAAACAATGGTTTTCCATGTCAGCAATCCTTCTATACTATCGCACGAGTGAAGTTATCCAATGGACCTGCAAAATTGAACCAACAAGCATTGCTGAATTAAAAAGATGTCACGAGGAAGTAAAGAAATTATTGTATGGGACACAGAAAGCATAAAAATAATGGATAATGGAAAGCTGCATCGTATCATTGTACAAAATAGGTTTCTGCAGATCATATTTCATTACCGATATGGATATTGCTTCAGATGGCATTGGTTTACTCACAAATTCCCAATGGTTAGAAAATCTTAAAGCATGCGGCATCCTTGTCATGGATGTACATGTGCAAGTTTTACATGTATGAAGAAAAACTAGCATATATGTTCATTTCAAAGGCACATACAAGAATATAATGTTCGTTTGAAAGAAAGAATGAGAAAACGACTTGTTCATTTGATATCCTTGTGATGTTGGAATATAAAGACGAATAAAACGATACAGAGAGTAGAAATGTCATTACATATGTGGGTTCAAGCAAGCTATAACATTTAACATAGGTGACCCAGCATACAGTAGAAACAAGATGGACACCTCCTATTTGCCTGTAACATTGTTATTTTTCTGAAAGTGATATGATGATGAATGCAAATTTTTTATCATCTCATTTTTATCTATAATTATGTAAATCCAAACCTTATTCAAAATTTTTGCTTACTTTTTTGTTGAAAATAAATGAATAAGGTATTAAGTCCTCGTATTATCATGTCTCAAAATAGTTTTTCAAGAATGGAGATGGAACTTAGCCTCCACATTTAGTACTCTAAATGTAGAAAGTTTGGTTCCACTTTCAGTAAGTTTCCAGAAAAAGGGAATTTGACCTCACACTTGGGTTCGCTAGAACAAAATCACCAACTAAAAGTGTTTGAGAGGGTCAAGCTGGTAGCCATTCCAATCAAGTAGAGAATTTGCCTCCACGGTAAATTTTTGTCACCCTCACCAACTCCACTGCCACTTCAGCCACACAATAATCACCACCTTTGCCACTATTGCTATGTAATAATAACCCATGATCGCCAGCAACACTCCATCACTATGACCATCATACACCACTACCACCAGCTTCCGACCACACCAACACCGCTATGGCCACTATCACACCAACAACACCATTGTGGTTGCTTCTGGTGTTGTTGTCGTTGGTTTGTCACTACCAAGAAGTTCAAGGACGAGAAAGAAAAAAAGAGACATTTTCCTAATTTGAATAGGAAAAACTAGTTAGGAAACAGAAATGAAAAATGGAGATCAAAGTTTAAAAAATCATTTGCTAAATTAAACATGCCCTTCTAGTCAAAAGTGAAAATTACTGATGTGAGACTTACAATGTTGTTTTTAGGGTTTCTCCAGTAAAACCCTTGTAGTGCGATGACAGCTATGTTCGAGGCCACAAGAACAAAGATGCAAAGAGAATGCCTTCCCATCCACTCAAACACAAAAGTAGGACACCTATATCCATAAACGTCCACCTGCATAAAAAGGAACAAGGCAAGCAAACAAAATGAAACATAAAGAAAATAGTAGATTTAGTTACAAATGATGAATGCACACGAAATATGTCTGAGGAAAACATATTTCAGCAAAAGATGTCCACTCCATCTGGTACAACATTCCGTTAGTCAATGAAAGATCTCTACACGGTTTCATAGAAGAAAAAGAAGCCTATTCAGCTTCTAAAGGGATTAGTTCTCATCCACCCTCGGTGGAAGTATAATAGTGTTTTTTGTTTCCTGATGTGATTTTTGGACTGACTTTATTTATGGTTTTCTAGCAGCTATCTTTTAGAATCATGAGAATTGTCTTTTGAATCTAATTGGTATCTCAGGTCAGACTACAGCTATCAAATAGGTGGCAACCTCTCTTCCTTCCCTTTCAATGTCTCTAAGGTGGCCTTCTCAACTATAACAATACCTAGATGGAGGGTCGTATCCTATCACAAAACTCTTCACTCTTTTCACATCAAATGTCTATTTAGATAGAAAATACACTTGGAATGAACCCAACAACTTGAATGGAGCAGGCTAACTATGTAGCTCAGCAAATTTTTATGTCAAGGCAGTAGATGCAGCCCCATGCAACATATACAAGATATTCCTTTTCTCCTTCACATAAAAAATTAAATTACATGATTTTTCACTATCAAATTCCTGAAGTCTTCTTGAGGCCACAACATATCTCAGAGGTTCTAATGCAATAATACTTAATCTTCTTTCATCATGTTAAAATATCCTTGGTTCTTTTCATGGGTAAAGTGTAACCAAGTTTGTAAATAACAGGTGGCATGGTGCCTACCAACTGATATTTACTAGTCCGATGAAGGACCGGTATCGGACCATATGATCTGTACTTATCGATACTATCTCATAATTATATTTTTTTGACTGGTATCGGACGGTATGAGTCTGTATACCACCCAATGTACCGATACCACACTGTCAAATATATTATGAAACCAGTACAGGCCCAAGATAAAACCTTGTGTAACATTATCTGAAACATCACTCTAGCCCTGGAACGCCAAAGGTCCTTATAAATTGTACCAGTTGTTACGATCTAAGCAATTTGGCCTAATAAGTTGGAAAAAAATGCCTAGGTCTACATAATCTATAGCCAAACAAATTCATTTATACAAGCCCATAATATATGGGCGAGCAGGAGAAGTCATCAGTTGAACAAGCCAGCTAGCGGATATGGTTTGCTCTGGCATGATGACATGGCAGAAAACCTGCTGACATTGGCCGTGAAGGTTTTGCAAAAATGAGCATCATTGTCATCATGATAAAAAGCTTAAATTCAAATCAAATGTCTGCCCTCATATAACACATCCACGCACTATTACAAATTTATTATTTTTTCATCTCTTCAACTTTATAACAATCTTAAGCAAATAGAAAAAGTTGCTTTCAAGTTGAAATTTAGATCTTCACTATTCTCCTCTCAAGTACTTCCTCTATTAATAATACATCAAGAATTCTTTCCCCAAAGACAAAATTAACATTATAGCAGAGGATAAAAGAAAGAGGAACAGAGAAAAGAGACAAAGATAAATGGAAGAACAAAACCATGAAAACACACGTCAAAGGCCATTTTACCATCATCAAGGAAACAAATTTTTTTAGATAAATGTACAATAAGCCTAACCAAACTGGCATATTTTAGCAGTAAACAAGGAAAGCATCAAAATTTTATATAATCTGTGCCTCAAAATTCAAATATTGTCCATGTGTGAAAAGGGCTGAACTTTCATACTCAATTCTGGAGCTTACCAGTACGTATAGAGCACATAATACAAATCCAGCGACACCCGTTGTAAGTAACATGTAACTGATTGTATATAGTGATTTGTTCAGAGGAACTCCTACAAAATTTTGAATCTCTTTCAGCTAATAGAATATAGAACTAATTCTATATTTCAGAAAAAGTCAATCAGGTTTAAGCATAGGAAAGCAACTTGAGAATTACCTATAAATGCAAGAAATAGCCCAAGTGTGAAAACTGAAAGTGAAAACAGTAGCCATTTTGTTAGTCGATCCTTGTGATCCTGAAATATTGCCATTGGTAAGACATACAAATGCCAAATTAGCTATTGAATTTGATTTAATGAACTGGGAACGTCTTCTGGAAAAGAATTCTAGAAAAATGAGCATACATATATCAACAGAAAAATGTAATCAAATGTTTTCAAAAGCATACAGCAAAAGAGAAAAAATTACGGAATTTGCAGGATTAACACAAGTTTCATCTCTGTGGAGACATCTGATCGGTTGGTTAGTGCACTGTTGAACATATGTCTCATGCTCAAGTCCATGTGTGAGCTGTATTGTACGTCATTTAATGTAATGAAAATAGCATTTTCTTTTTAACACAAGATAGAGTTTCACGAAAGCATTAATAGCAGAGACTAACCAATACTATCAAGGCTATAGTTATCTTGACATAGTGTTCATACCTCCAAAAGAACAAGAATATGACCAAAATGAAGCCCAAATATGCAAGTCACAACAGCAGTTAATGAGCTGCAAACAGATTTTTCATACATGATCAGAAATCAGTAGTCTTGCAAAAACAATAACTATAGATGGGAAACATGTAGATATGTCCTTGATTAATAAATAAAGTATATATGATGTATACCATATATGAAATCTGACTATACTAGCTAGTTTTTGTTGATTGAATCAACCCATGTTATCTTATGCAACTTACTCCATCGGCTGCTTGTTAGAAATGAGATATGATCTCGATGCATGTTTTTTAATGAATTTCTAGGCACATAGTTTATGCAAATTTGTGTGAAACTTATTCCATCAGTTGATATGCTATGGAGTTTAGCAAGACAACCAGAAATAAATGTTTGATCTTTCATGTGGAAACTTTGTTAAGCTTTTAAACAATTAATAGCTATGGCATATTGAACCAAGGATTTTAATTTTAAATAATACCACCCATACTGGGCGGTACATACCGGTCCGCCAGTAGACCGGTATGCGGACCGCCCGCTACCGGGCGATACTATTGATTGGGGTTGCTTCCGCCTCGTTACCACCCTAAATCGGTCGGTGATGGTTGATTTTGACCGTCGCTGCTCGCTACCAGGTGGTATTAGCCGAGGGAGAAAAAAAAAGAGAGAAAAGAAAAGGGAGAACCTGGAGATCCGACGCCGCTCTCCCTCGACGATCTTGATTCGTCGCCGCCCTCCCTCGTCGGATGCCACAGATGAGATGTCACCTCCTAGGCGACGAGGCCTCGACGTCGTCGATGACTTCTCCTCATCTGCGTGGGGAGAAGAAGCTTCTGTGTCATCGCGGGGAGAAGAAACGGAGCGTCGTCAAGGCGATACACCCTGGTGTACCGCTCGATACTCTGTACCGTACCGAGCTACGCTCGAAACTTCGGTATGGTACGAAATTACAATCCTTGTATTAAACACATTGTAAATTCGGAGATGAGTTTGGAACCTGATCATTCTCTATTGGTACTTCAAAGCTGTGCATAAGCTTTTGTTTGGAAGGTTTGTCTACACACCTATGCTAGGCCTAACCTCCCTAGTATGAGTATTCACCAAGTCCGAAGGTCAGCGACTCAGCTATAAATAAATGGAAGAGTAATCAGATGAATAAGCTATGAATATAGTGGATTGTGTTTCACCTTGTTCCTGGTGACCTGGGGAGCTGAAAGTTATACTTCAAAGAGAGGCTATATAGGAGCATTAGTTTTTTTTTTCAAAGGTAAGGTATAATGCTAGTCAAAGGACTACCAGCTAGATGATGAACATGATTTTCATTTAAATTTTTAGTGACCACCGAAGGTCGGTCATAGTTTATAGAGTTTGCTTCTTTTCAGTCATAAAGATCTTCAATAAAAAGAAAGCAAAGCAAAGAAAATGAATTTAATCCATAATAGGAGTAAGAATGGAGTACTATATTATAATGTTCGCAATTTCGGTCCGTATCGACATACTGAGCCTTGCTTGGTATGGTACGTACCGACGATATACCAGGGCATACCGAGCGGTACACAAAACATAGCTAAAAGGTCGATAATGGTTGAAACCACCCAATACAAGTCGGTAACGATCGAAATCTATCGGTACTACCTGGTACAAGTTGGTAATGGTCGAAATTTCAATCGTTACCGTCCGATACAGCCCCATATCGCCTGATACAGGGCCAAAAATTTGGTACCACCCGGTAGCGGCAGTTCGCATGTGTTGAGACGCTCTCGGACCGGTACATATCACCTGTACCGGGCAGTGTACATCGAAATTAAAAATCATGTTATATTACAAGAGATTCAATATTTGCCATGTTTGGCTAACACGTTCACTGAGCTTTATAGGCAAGCTTTTCTGGAAGCTACCGAAAGAGATTGAACGTAGGGATTATGCCCATGCAACAGGGAAGAAGCTGAGCTTAGGCCTACTACTAGACACGGATGACAGATACAAAGTTTGACCTTAGTAGTGAGGAAGAGAACAAAGAGAGAAAAAACTTAAAACAGATGATTGTTGATCATAAGTCAGTTAAAATGGTATTCATATGGACAAAATAGAGCCATTTTCAATATTTTCAAAGGACCAACCAACCTGTATGACCTAATGAAACTCATGATTTAGCTCAGAGTGCTTAGAACCCTCTTTACTTGCTAATATGCCACGCCAAATGAAAATGAAGCGGTAAGTTTGAAGATTGTCAGTCTGCCACATTATTGCCAAGTGTTCAGACCTGATTTATACTTGTGTAAGGTTTCTACCTTGGGCAGTCCTAGACAAGGTCTTTAGTTGGACTTCCTATTTTGCTTTTGTTTAGAGATGTATTTTGGTCCATACTTGTAGTTAATATATTCAATCAAGTTCCAAAGTTGAGATGTATTCTTATCTTTGGGTCCTATTTTTCTTAAAGAAGAATAAGATGCCAGGAGCCCAGTATAGATTTTTAGAGGTGTCTTCTAATAAGATCTCATGGGATTTTGTGATTTTCAAATAAAGAAATTTTCTCACATAAGTTAAACTTAGCTTACCAATATCTATAACTCTAGAGGCTGTCTTAACATTAGCAATTTCATTACTGAAATAGGATTATCATGGTTTAGTGGTATATTCTTTCTTTTCATCCTTTGGATGCCAATTATCCTATAATTGGACATTACCCTGATATGAGGCTATCATCCTATCTTAAAACAGCAACTGTGTACTCATGATAGTAGGACATCTCTAATGATTGATCGACATTGAAAAGTACAGGTTACATAATTCAATATATATACCTTAAGATGCCTTCCGGATCAAAGGGTGCATGGCACCAGGGTGGGTAAGTATTCACTCCATTACCATCCTTCGGAGTCATGCATTCCTATTTGTTAAAAAGACAATGGTTCGAAAAGTGAAATTATCCCCAACATCTAGATAAATATCAAATGTAAGTTCATTACCTTCAAATGTCTATATACAGGTGTTTTATGCAGGTGTTTGATGCCAAGGACATTGCGGTCAATCATTCCAGCCGCATTACATGCTGGTCCAAGATCACCTCTTACTTCACATTTAACCTGAGAATGAGAAAATTAATGTCCAAGTACATGTATAGCTAACATCATATGGTACCAATAATACAGATCTCTTAAACAAAGCAAGTTCATTGTATAGCCCTGAAGAACATAATTACAAAATAGAAACAATAAAGAGATATTACCGTCTCAATGGTGTAACTAGTTGGCAGGGAAGAATTTAATGATATTTCTTGCATTTCAAACTGCCAATCTGGAACATATGCACCATACAACAGCCCCAAGTATATACCAGATAGTAAAACCACTATGATCCTAAGAAGAAATTAGTAGTAATAAGTAAAAGACAAGGATAAGCCTTTTGTTATCGAGCATTACCATGCTTCTGCATGACTTGAGAAAATATGCAACCATCATCTTAACCACAAAGAAAGATTTTGCAATGGAAGATAATCTCATGTTCCAAATATTTGACAATAGCTCCAAGTATATGCCAAACAGTAAAAACACTATGATTGTAAGAAGGCACCAGAAGTAGTATGTAAAAGACAGGGATAAGCCCTCTGTTGTCATAGGTTGTCATGCATCCTCATGACTCAAGATAAAATGGAACCATCATCTCAACCACAAAGAAAGATTTGGCAACAAAACAAAATCTTGTGTTCCACATAGTTACTACATATGATCCACTTCACAGAAGCAAAATTATTCACATTGGATATCTTTAATCTAGATGCTGATAGACAAAAAAGTATTCATATTGGATAACCTACATATTCTCCCTTTCCTTGGCTCACATATTTACTTCAGTAACAATACCTACTTTAATAACTTTTTCTTTTGCAATATAAAATTCAAATCTGCATTCTTCTTAATATAAGATACATGTATTTATAAAGTCTTTGAACCACTAGATGTCTACGAATATGTGTTGCAACTCACATGTTTCTTGTGTCTCATGGTCGAACAAAACTAAAAATGAATTTCCAATCTGTTTCACAGAACTGGATAGATCTAATTCTCCATTCCCTATTGTCAAAATACTTACCATATTTCAAGTGACAAACAACACATCTGTCCTGCACACCCAAAATAAGTCCTAAATTTGAGACATGTAGGTTTGAGATTGAGCCCAAACCCAAATTATGCCCAAGTAAAAGTACTACTGTAATAGCACAATTTAAAAAAATAAAAATAATTTCCATCTTCTTTCAAACCTAGAGTGATTGAAATCCAAAAGACACTGAGTAGCCGTATTAGCAATAGTGCAAGGCAAAATTATGCGATTGGATACGGATTTACGCATGGAATATTATTTCGCTCAGACCAGTACAAAATGAGCAGTACATACTGGTTCAGGTATGAACCGATACAAGGACTGCCCCATCTCAAGAGGTCCAATCCGACCCATTAAAAAATAAAAAAAAATTAATGTCTTCTCAGTATGCAGGGAGTGCAAAATCATGAGTCACCACTATCGTCCACTGCCACCTATCTCCCCACCAGCCACTACATGTTGTTGACCACAGGTATGCTTCCTCCACTCCTCCTTTTCCTCCATCGGCTCCACTTCTTCCTTCCTCTTCCTCCTTATCCTTCACTGGCTCTTTTGTTGTTTCATCTTCCTCCTTCCTGATCCTCTTCCTTTACCACCTCCTCTTCCTCCTACCTCCTTTCTCCTCCACTTCCTCCACCACTATTTGTTCCTTCCTCTTCTCCTTCTTTTTCCTCTTCAAGTCACTGGTGCGTATCGATATGTCATGTCGTGTGTCAACACAACAGTACCAACCAGTACCAATTCGGTCAGGGACCGACATGGTTCCCGCATTCGGTATCCAAAATGGCATTTGGATTTATGGGTGGCAACCCATCTTGGCTCAATTGCAAGTATCAACTTGATCTTCAAACTAATTTGGCCTTAGGTTTCCACCCAGCCTAGCATGTCCTTAACCCTGACGACTACTGGGCATGGCCTACTTAAGCCCATATACATATAAATTGCAAATTTGATTACAAAAGTAAAGTAGAGACTTACCAAGTCAAGTGCAATGGCAAAACTATAACTCCAAAAGTCTTATAGATTTATAATACACAATCAAACATCAAAGTTATCCAAATTAGATAAAGATACACATGCCTAAATAAAGTAACTTAATTGACAGTCACCAAGTTAAGATTGTGCATTATAACCCAAAAAAAACAATTTGCATACCACTGATATTGATAATTCTTAAACATTCCACGTTCAACGTTCATAGTTCGGTTGCTCGAAAACCATATTTCACATAAAGCAGCAACAATGTACCCAATAGCTATCCTCTGTTTTTCACGAAGTTGAGAAGCAATAATTAACATAAAAATCAAAATCTTAATATCAAGGCATTTTTAGAAAAAAATAATAAAACATGAAACAAGTATTGCATTAAACAATATATCAGGAAACGAAGCATTTACTCTGTAATAAACTAATACCTGTAGAACACCAAACAGACGAATTTTCTGAATATCAACACCAAAAGTCAGCGAATTTATTCCATGAAAGTAACCACCTGAAATAACAAATGACATAACATGGTAAATATTCAACTCGGTCTATTGTTAAAAGAAAATAAACTAAACAAACTTGATTATGTTACATAGAATGTTCAGATAAGACAATATGCTACTGTAGTACCATGCTTCCAATAGAACAGCCAATACACCTTGATAAATGTAACCTAACATTATAGTTCATGAACATAAGAAAGCATCTCTAAAGAGATATCAATAGCATTAGACCTTTAAAAAGGATGACATCCTTAATAGAACTGAATGGTAGGAAGGACTTGTAGTGAAACTTAAATAGCTGGTGTAACAAAAGTAAATCAATGGCACATATGAAACAAAGAAGAGAACATCCTGATACAAAAGGGCATCTAGTTGATTTTTACTATCATTGTCTTATACAGCGCATACCATCAATATACTCTTATCCCTAGAACCTAGGGAGAATAACAGGAAGACTACACTAAAAGTAAGAGAAGTGGCATCTAGTATGTAATACTTTACAAGGTCATTAAGGACCATATTTCTAAAAACTGCAGGAAGAGGAGAAGTTTATTTAGATATCCAAGGGCTCAACCACTCAAAAGTATGCTGAGATTGTGTGTGTGCGTGTGTATATATATATATATATATATATATATATATATATATATATATATATACACACACACACACGCACACACACACACACACTGTTCCACATTGCTGTAATTTTGCTTAAAGAATATGGTTGAATATAGTTATATTCATTATGACGGAGAAGATTTGCAAATTTTTGGGCAATTGCTTCAATTTCCACCAGCTTTGCAAACTTGACCATTACAGGGAAGCTATTGGAAAAAGCTTGAGATGCAGGAAATTAAGAAAAAAGGTTGGAGATATTAGTCAGCAAATAGAAATCACCCCTGCTTTTCTCATTTCAATCTCATATCTCATTCTGCTGCCTATTGAACATGATTCAAGAGTGCACCATCAAATTCCTACATAAACATATAACAAAGTTGAAAAAACTATGTCCATTGACTTGGGAAGTAGCAAATTAACTCTAAAGTTCATATTGGCAGAAATGTTTGGTGAGCGGAGACCTAAAGAAGCAAAATTTCGATGGAAATAAAAGAGTATTACAGACTGTATAGAGTTATGTCCATAAACTACCTGAAAATTTTCCATGTCAACTTTGAGGAAAAAAGATTAGTTGCAGTCAACACTCGAAAATTATGGAAATTGGATACAAGGGCAAAGATGTCATGCACAAGAGAATACCAGGAGGGAACTTATTTAGGAGTAAAGGAAAAGGTTGTAAGAGATAAAGCCACATTCATCATACAGAACAAAAAAATAATGGATGCACAAGCATTGACAAGTGACATTTGCAACCAAAGAAAGGGAAAGATGTAAATGGTTAAATGCAAACAAGAAACAGACCTCACTAAATAAGTCACCCTAACAAAGTTAAACCTCGCAAGAAACACTTGAACCTTTTAAAGAGCATATTTAATTAAAAATGGTATAAAAAGTAATGGAATGCAATGGCAGATCTAGATCATGAAGTAAGAATTCATTTTCTAACAGCAAACCAGTATAGCACAATGGAATTGCCAATCAGAGAGTATGAACCAATGAACGATTAATTAATTGTTTGTTTTTTGTTTTACTGTCTGTAATGAGAGAATCTTGCTGGTACATTATATAGTTATATGTCGTTTTATTATTTATTTAAATAGCATCATTTAGGTTATAAGACACAAGAATCAACACTTTTTTCATAAAGTATTAATCAAAATAAGAACAAATACATATTCAAGAAATTACATAAGATAAAAAGCACCTTCTGAAAAAGATAGAGAGAACATCTGATACTGTTACCTTGGAGAAAAATACCGACAATGAAGAGTTTAACTGCCTTTATCATTGCCTTCCATGTTAATTGAAGTTTTCTGGATTTGTTCTGAATCGAAAAAGGGATTTTCATTTATTCATGGAACATTCTGATGTGTCACAAACATATCCCTGGTAACTTCATAGATTGTATAAAGTATAAACAACTCGAAAATACATTAAAATATGAACCTTTTTATTCTAAAAACAGAAGAACAATATTAGGAAAAATTAGCATATTGCCTTTGGAGAAGATTATCTACAAGATCTGCATTTAAAATCCTAGTAAAATCCAAATTTAAGTGGATTTTCATGAGTAAGCAATAGTCTGCTGCAGAATGTATAAGAACAGCTCATTTGTATATGACTATACATAAAAATGACCCTCCAGCCACCCCATTCTCAAATTTGAAAATAAAGCGCAAAGGTTTTTATACTAGAGAATAGAGAGTATATGCTAAATATCATAAAAATTAGGACACAATGACTCTAAAGAAGAAAAGGAAGAAAAAGGTACAAAAGAAGAAATGGAACAAAGAAACAGTTAGAACTGTTCATTCATAAAAGCAGTTATTTAGCAGTGATGGTTATAATAGAAATACTGTTCCTAAAGCAAGTGAACTCAGGGCCTGTTTAGCATGGGGAATTCTTATGAAACTGCAGAATTTTGGCTAAACAACAATATTATTACGCCCAAGGATCTCCACACTTAATAACATTATGCTAGTCTCACCCTCCAAAGCCCACTTTCATTTAAGTTCCAAAGATGAAAACCATTTGGCAGGGAAAATGCCATTATAATAATGCAGAGTGAGATAATCAATCGAATTCAATTGTTTGGTTCTTATTCATCCAGAAGTGATTGAACTAGGCTTAAAAAAGCACTATCGCACCAAGTAAACTACATTCACTCCTTCCCTGTTTACGGCTACAGGGCTGGATACCCTCTAATCTCACCATCAAATGGACTCAGCTCTAAAGGTACCGCTGTGTAGCTTCCAAATCCTATTACAAATCCCCATTGACATATTTTCATGCGTGAAATACCAAAATTAACAACAACATTAATCATTAGTTAGAATTTAGAAAAATTCCAATTTGAATTTTAGATCCCCACTTAAATTTTTAGAGGAACCTAGATAAAATATATTGTGTGCGAGCAAAGTGCATCAATGCTTAAAACTATACAGTATGTGGCAGAAGATATAAAAGAATTCAATTATGATTAGTCCTTATATAAATAAACATTACTTTGTCATCTTGCCACCTCATTGAATCCTATTAAATCTTGGATTCGAACTACAAATATTTTACTTTTATATTCTAATTCTAATACAACTAAATTCTCAACAAATTTAAGACTACACTTTAACCTAGCAGATGGCCAATTTACTTACCGAGATATGCAACTCAGTCAAGCATTATGGATTCAGACAAATCATGAACATGGATTAAATCTCATGTTCCAACACAGTGCCAGTCACAAGTTGGTAAAGTAGCATACCCCAAGACACCCCTTGTAACTGCTTAAAGTAGTCCATGTTCTACAAAAGATTAGAGAGGTTATCTCCGTGACTCAAACCCCGGTATCCAGTTACAAAGGAACTTGGTGCACTAGGTAAGCCCATCAGAATTAGCTAGATTGCACAATAACAAACAATCCTAGTGTTTGGAGCTACTACCAGACTAATTCTAGCTAGTCAACCTAGATTGGTTAGCATATGTCATGCATATATATGTATTTAATTCATCCCAGATTATATTAAAATTTAAAAGATCCAGATCAATGATGATCTTGCATACCTAGGGGCAATCTATGTTACTAGAGCTAGAAGTTCAAAACAAACTTTTGGAAAGAGGAAGAAAATAAAAAATGAGTGCAACTTTGTATTGCGTAACATTACTGGCATTATAAGTTCTCTCTTTTTCTTTTTGTTTTGAAGGCATCTTATGTTTTTCAAGCAGTATGACCACTTGAATCATGAGAGATACTGTCATCAGTGTCATGTGGATGTGGCAATATATACTTTTTAGAGAAACTTCCAATAACACTAAAATTATTCCAAAGAAAAAAGAAAAAGGAGAAAATAACTAGATTTAATTGAGAACATGTCAATTGAACTTGAATCCAAATTCATCATTAATCCAAACAGATTTGGTTGGTTTTTTCCCTTCCGTGTCTACTGTAGCATCAAAAGGTCTCCCAATTTACATCACTTGTACCATACCAATTCTAGTAATTATCGAAACTGGTTATTGAACCAAGATTTAAATTCTCTACCTCAAAGTTTGAACATTTGTAACATTTTATTCAAGGATATTGGACGATACAGGTCTATGTATAGCACGGTTCTCTGGAACTGTATCATTCTAATAGGTCACTGAGCCAATACTGATCCATTTATAAATCTCTGATTTATTTTCCAATTTACTCTAAAATTACAAAAATCACACCACCAATTGATCAGCCAAAGTGTTACACCAAATTCCCCTTAGAAAGTCCAAGTCAAAGTGAACAAGTGCTCAGTGAATTTGGTGCTAAATTGTCTAGGTGACTTTTCAAATTTGACTCCTTTTTTTTTGACAAAAAAGAGTTTCCAGTTGTTTATTTTTCACCTCTTCCTCTATCCTCTGCCATCTTTATCTTGGAATTTATATGTTCCTTCTAGCTCCCCTAGATCTATACCTTCCCTGCCTCTATATTGCAGTCCATCAATCACTCCACCAATATTGTAACTCCCCCTGCATCATGTCTGAATGGTCATCTCCAATTGGCAAAGTTCTCATTTTCAGAAAAGAGTTCCTAGTTGGCTAGCCCTTTATCCTCATCTCTGTTCCTCTCCCTTTTTTTTAATTCATCTTAGTATCTTATATCACTTCTACCTCTTCTACATCTCTTTTCTTACTCTAGTCCCTATTATCACTGCAGCCAGTGATCACTTTATTAATATTTCTGCTGCTCCTGCTTCATGCTTATTTTATTTCACAAGAAACAATGGAAACATGAAAGTGTATGCATACACATGAATCACTCAACAAGAGGAAAGGGAAGTACCTCCCTGTTAAGTATTGATTTCTTTGTTTGCATGGGTCGCTAAAAGTATGCATACATATATGTATGTTTGTATATATATACACACATATGAACAATCCACAAGAAAAATGGAAATTACCTCCCTGTTAAGTATTGGTTCCTTTGTTTGCATGACTCACTAACTTTGCAAAATTAATAGACAGAAATTAAACATGTGGACAACATATGATTATCAGTTTATAGATAAGAAACATGTCAAAGAAAACTTGACATCACAAGAGGAGGAAAGACTTCTTACCTTGTAGACAATTGAAACAGAAATACCAGCGATGAAAAGAAAAAATGGCATCACAAAGTCCGCAAGGCGTACACCAACCCAAGGAGCATGAGCAACAAATGGCAGTACAGAACCAGCATAATCAACAAATATCATCAGCTGCAACAGAAATTTGGGATACATTCTAACAATCATCTCAACAAGGATATCAACTATAAAAAAACACCAAGCACAGTTTCAAGAACATTATGGAGCAAGAAACAACCAACTCCATTAGAGACAAATTTTTAAACACAGTCTCATTAGCTGTTTCCATGAGAGCATATATAAAATCCTGATAACATAGTGCACATTTGATTTAAGTAAGGAACTACCAGATGTACTCTATTAGAAATTATGATACTAATATATGCCAAATAACCTATTTACTTAAAAAAACAAAGTTACAAGTTATATATAGAAGTACAATTCCAAATAAGATTTTAGTTAGGCTTTAGTAATGAGGAAACAATTATCATAAAATATGCAGAGGCTCATATGTAACACAAATTAGTCCCACATTGGAAGTGGGCTAAGGCTAAGATTGGCTATAAAAGTGTATTATTGTTAACTTTAGCTTTAGTTATCCTATCAGGTCGGATCATAAAAATTGGTATCAAAACCGACCTAGTATTGGGGGTATGGTAAGGGGTTCTAATAGAAAAGGGCTACTACTGGGCAGGGTCGGAGAATATGTCATGGCATGAAACCATCACTGGGATATGTCTCACATGCACCATGCTAGGGTCAGATCTGAGTTATGTTGAGTCTTGACGAGGATGTCAAGCCCTTAAATGGGGAAGATTGTAACATCCTGATTAGTCCCACATCAGAAATGGGCTAAAACTAATATTAGCTTATAAATATTTTGACCAGTGATTTGAGCTCAACGAAGTTAATAGGTCAGTTATTCCAAAAATTATATGTATCAAAAGAAGATATATATCTCCATTGTGAATCTGGAAATCTTTATTAATGATATATATATATGTATATAATTGTATATTGATATCATACCAGTACATACATATATAAGGTAGTATACAGACTTATGATAAGATGTGCACCTATCTGCTAACCATACTAAATAGGAAACTTGTTGTAAGAAACAGTTTGTTTTAATTTTAAAATGCAAAATATGTTGATTATTGAATCTAATTACCTTAATTATACATATAAATAAAAATAAACAGCTCATGGGACAAAATAACTCACGCACATAGAAGTTATCAGTTGCCAGGAAGGAAGGAACCAATCAAGCTATTTACTAAAAATTCAAGAATATCTTGTTGTTCTTCAATCGGCACATCATTCTGCATGATTTGATTGGGCCAATTAGACTATGCAGTTTCAGCATGCAAAAGAAAAAATGGCCATATTAAAAAATCCACCGCAACTAGTATCAAAATACCCTTCATCAAGAGAGAAAGATGATGTTCAGTGTTAGCATGTCACTCTCCTATGAAAAAATTGGTTAGTTCTGAGAATAGGCTCTGCAATTTCTTGTTGGTTTCTGAATCAATACCAGAATTAATTTAACCATTTCAGTATGTGATCATTTTGTTTATATCAGGATTATCATAGAGAGCGTTGGAACTATTTGAATAAGGTCATGATTAGATAAATGATAAAATTAAAGCCTAATTAAAACAGTGACTAGCTTCTTTAAATAAAGCAAGTTAGATATGAATATAACTATATATCGGTATCGTACCAGTCCAGCTATTGCCGAAATCAATATCAAACTAAGATTTATATCATCGTTTGGAATGATTTAAATCATAACTAGATATGACTAGATATAATGCATTTGATATTTTATATCTTAATATTTTTCTTAAGTTAGCTCCATAATTTGCTTGTCATCCAATCATCTCACGTTAGAACACTCAGATAAACACGTGAAGGAACCAGAAACAAGAGCAGATATTCCCTTGGCAAATAAGGTTCCATAAAATTGGTGTTACGTTTATTCTAATATATTATCACACTACAAGGTGTCTTCACTCCTCTCAAATTCTTGAATTAAGCATCGAACTTGTCATAGCTACATCAGACTATTCCCACTGCAGGTTATCTGCATAAGACTCAAGAAATGATTACCTTAATCTGGACACAAAACAAAATAATTGAATTAATAGTTCGAGAAACTGGAAGATTCATGCGGTCGTGAGTCAGAACATACAACTTATAATGAATCTCAAGATTAAGAAACCGACTCACTAAAAACCTGATTCTTTTTCCAAGCATTCATTTATCAAGATAAGCGTACAATTTGCCACCAATCAACTGGCTCAACATGTCGCATTACTCTCTGCGTAACATACCAACAAGTCGCAAAGATCAAGAAATAGACCATGACCTAATTCTTGTTCAAGAAACGAGTACCGCGACCTTATCACGGACTAAACGACCGAAACAACAGTTCAAGAAATGGAAATGTGCCCGCAATCGACATCAAGATCACGAAATCGACCCACTAAAACCTAAATCTATCTCAAGAAAAGAACAGCGTGACCTAAATCAGGAGACCAGCGACCGGAATCTAGGGGTCAGAGAAGCTAAGAGAGAGCTCACAGCGATCGAGAGACCTCGGAAGACGTCGAGAGAGGCGACGCGAGTGCCTCCGGCTCTCCTTCCTTCCTTCCTCGAGGCTTCCGCTTCCTCGTTGCCTGGGCTCAGTGGGACGTAGTCCCCCATTTCTTCTTCCGTAGCGAACGCCCCAAGATTTGGGCGAGACGACAGGGAAAGCGGAGAATGGTCGGAACGGATCAACTTTTTCCGTGAGTGGTTCACTTTACGCTGAGGTGAGAGAGCTGGGAATATGCGCGTACGTTCCACTCACGTTGCTCCGCTAACGAGCATGGAGGCGTTAGTTCTGGTGCCTCGCCGTTCGTCACAGGCCTTTCGAAGATGGTCCAACGGTCGTAGGTATGAAAGTCTTAGTGCGGTGAACGCACTCGCCGAATGTGATAAGCGATGCTACCTCTATTAATCACTACCCAGTTTAATACCTGCCTATGATTGGACGAAGTTAGCAACACAAGGCAGGTCGGTGAATGGGTTCGACTACGGAATGCCAAAAGTAATCGCTGTTCAGGTCGCCGCCGTGCGAGACTTTATGATTAGCTGACAGTTGCGGGCCCCACGGAAACAAAAGCTACATTTACATTCTCGAATCTGCTCCGTCCAGCCATCGGACCCTCCTATCTCAGCCGTCCATTGTAAACGTACGAGGTGGTATGAATGTTTGCAGTAGGTGAGAGTGTGTCCCGCCGTTCAGGCGAAGGAATTGGTTCACCGTACAGGGAATAGTGATGGCAGGAGGTGATAATAACGTCCAACAGCTTTCGTGTTGGCCCCACCCTGCAAACGATAACCATGGCAAAATGTGACAAAATAGAAACAATAATAATCATAAAAATATTATAATATAGTATAAAATATATAATAATATTTTTATAAAAGTTATATTTATAATATTTTTATACTAAATTATAGTATTTTTCAGTAATATCTAAAAATATTATAATATAGTATAAAATATATAATAATATTTTTATAATTTTTATAAAAGTTATATTCATAATATTTTTATTTTGTGTTATAGTGCTTTCAAAAAATCATAAAAGGATTATAAAGAGAAAATATGGGGGGAAAAAAAGGATTGTAAATAAAGATAAATGCTAATTATCAGAAGTCCACACAAACTGGAGATGACATGTAACTGAAGATCTGGGAGAATTCAGAGTCTATTATCAAGCACAAACAAGAAAGGACACCACTGATGATGCTATTGGTGTAGATGATAGGATCAACTTGTGATGACATTTGGTTACAGATCTAAAAGAACTCAATTTATCAAGTTCAGAAAAGACACTAGAAATTAGCACATTAGGTTTTAATAAGAATAAAACAAGGACAGTAATGGAAGACCTTGCCTATAGAACAGATTTGTGCATGGTTGCTACGACTAAAGTAATCCAAAAGAAACAAATTAATAGTAGTTTTTGTCATACAGCAAACTCTGCAGATCTACTAATAGCTTCTTTGCAAGATTTTAAAGATGAAAAATCAGTACAGACTAAAACCAAAGAACTGGCTAATGAGAATGGCTAGTCCCATGGATATTGCTACAAGAGAAGCAGCCCATGTTAGCTTCTCTGTAATCCTAGGAACCCTTTCTTTCAGTGCCTGAGTGAATGAACCTATGAAAACTGTGTAACTTGCCATGGCAAACACCGTGCCAACAAGAAACATACACAAAAATGCAGCACCAGCCAAGCGCGACGGAAGTGCTAGCGCTGGCAAGACCATCATGAGTGCATCAGGCTGCAGACCATGCACAATGCCGGTAGCAAAGGTTGCAAATCCAAACTTCTTTTTCCCAGTCGGACCTGCATCCAAGTGCTCGTAGATACTAACGTCACACTCCCCATTTTCTAAAGCGACACAAGGCGTGGGCACCTCTGAGGCCTCTCTGAATCCAATTGCACCAATGACAAGCAGAGTTAAACCAACAACTCTTGTTCCCCATGTACGAATGACCTCAATGTGCATACGATCTTTGAGCATAAGGAACAGTAATCCAAATACCACTTGACCAGTATCATGGCCGCATCCCCAAAGGGCTCCTACTACAGCACTCTCGATCCTCGTTCTGCCAATGGATAAGGGAGCCAAGGCAGCAAGATGGTCAGGGCCCGATAATGTGTGTAGGCAACCAGCAAGAAAACCAGTCCATGCACTGCTTAATAATTCCGTTCTAATGAGCCTTCCACCAGATCTGGCAGCAGACTGCACTGTTGCATAGGAGGGCGGCACTAGAATTGGTTGGATTATTGTAAAAATTATTGCTGATGCGAGAACAAGCACTGCAGAATGTACAGCCTGAAAGGAAGAGATCTGAAAATTTAAATACAACAACAAAATAAGAATTTCCAATTATAAGGGGTCAGCTACATGGACTTTCCCCACCATTAAGCTTAGTCAAGGGCAACAACAATAGTCAAACTAAGAACACATCAGACAATTAAATATGGACAAAGAACCATCAACCAAAATGATCACTCAAGTGCACCTGAGACATGGTAGAATACACACTTTCATGAAATAGATGCATGAAAAAGATCCACAAAAGGCACTAATGAACATGGTCTTTCCATTAAACAAAGATTGTCAAAACCACAAATCACTAAACAAGCCAAATCAACCAATACTTGCCTGGCAATTAATTGATCGCAACGTGGAAAAAACAAACTAAAATTGGCCATGTGCCTTCTATACAAATTAACACAATCTTTTAACCATGCCATTATCTTTGCAATTACTGGTAAAAATTTAATGCCGCAAATTCACATAAATTTGACTAGTCTGAATCTGTACTTTTCTAGACACAATACGAAAAGAAAACCCATATTCACATTAAATGCATCTTCAGAAAAAGCATCTGCATATGCCAGAAAATGGATAGTAATTTATTTTGTTAAGTAATTATACATCATCTAAACATAGAAAAAGAAAAAGAAAAAGCTCAAGCATACACAAGGAATTGATTCCAATGCTACAAACCAAAGTCTTAAGACTTTGAAGTAAACATGTCCGATCACTATTCTTAAATAAAGCATACTGTTGATTTTCGATCGCCGAGATTCATCTTGTGATGCAGCTTAGGTAGATTTGGCTCAATAAATCTAAAAAGAAGCTAATCCTAGTTATACTAAAAATAGAACCCAATAAAGAAGGGTTTAAAAAAGTTTTGCTTGGGAGTCCAAAACAGGTTATCTAGACAAGTCTGTGCGAACGAAAGGAGATCAAACATGAGCTTCTCGACATGAAAGGTTACTTAAGTCTCTATCCTGGATTACTGACCATTGTTGCTATAACAAGAACCGTTAGAATTTTTATTTCTAAGTATATTCTTATTTATCATTAGCCCACTGATATTGTGTCTCCCAGTGTACTCCTCTTCTCTCCCTTCTCTTATCACTCATCCCCTTTTCTCTTCCCCTACTATTCTTGATCTATATCAAACTTCAGATCCACATCATGTTGCATCACCGAACCTCTGGACAACTTGCAAGTCCTGAAAGCACAGTTGTCACAGAATCCCCAAGCAAACATCTGCATCATCTACCAAAATTGAGCTGAGCAAGGGGGTGCGCACATGAGATTAGATCTATCCATTTAAGTTCTCTAAATCTAATCTGTTCAAGGCTCCACATTTTTTTATGCAACTATAACCCCGGACATTATGCACGCTAGGAGTGTCATACAGGAATAATAGGAATTCTGGAAGACCGTATTGCTTCCAACACGTTCAGTGCTGCAAAAATTAGGTCCTTGCTAACCATACACTACGATGTAACATCCAAAAATTCCAGATAAGAAACAATTCTCCAACGAATGCATAAAAAATTGAGTCCAAAACTTGTTATAAGCACAATTACATTAAAATATGTAGCACATATCCGTCAGTCACGCCCAACAAAGCAATCCTAAAACCCAATCCGAAGATAAAGAAGTGCTAAAGAAATCACCTTTCGCAGGATAGAACCGGCGGATGCTCTTCTTTCGGGATATAGCTGAGCCTTCCGGGCCTCCTCGGCGGAGCGAGAAGCCGAGGCATCGGAGAGGGAGGAGGAAGAGCTAGGAACAGCAGGCGTGGGCGGCGGCGGCGGCGGTCCTACTCGTTTGGAGAAGAGCGAAGCCACGGGCTTGAAGCCATTGCGCGGGAGCCAAGGAAGGCTGTGCTTGGGGTACGATGGGGGTCGCCGGAGGAGGACAGGCGGGCGAGGCCTCGCGAAGGGCGGAGCCGTTCGACAGGGGGAAGAGATAAGCCTCTCCATGAGAAAAAGGAGAGCGCTCAGCAAAAAGACGGTGGCCTTTTATTGGTCAGAGGCGGAGAACGACGGATCCATAGCTCCACAATAAGATCCGAATCCGAAGTAAGCGGTTTATGTGAAATGAAATATTATATTAGCAAATTCATTTATGTAAGGTTTTGAAAATTCGATGTTTAATTGTTCGATTTAATATCGTGTGAAAATTATCGAATAAGATTTGAAATTCTTGATATTCGAGTTTGGATTTATATAATATTTGATATGGATATATCATGATAAGTAAATCTGATACATAATAATTACATTCATATTTTGATAATTAAAATTAATATATCACGAATAGCGGCGTTTTATGTATAAAATTTATCGAATGAAATTTTGGATCAGTTATGTTTTATAAGTTATTACCAGCTTTATTTATAAAATGTATCCAATAAGATTCTTAATAAGTTTTTCTAAAATATCGATCAATATTTAAGGTGTAAAAATTTATTTTATCAAAATTTGAATCTAAAGCATTGATAAGTATCACACTATCAGATAAATATTTTAGATATATAAATTTATTAAAAAAGTTTCGATATTTATTGAAATTTAAATTTTATGAAATGAGATTTCAAACATAATGGGTCTAAATGACATAAAAAATATTATAATTATATAATGGATAAACATAATAACGCTTTTGCTTTATCATACGACGCTCTCATAATTAATTTTTATTAATGGGATATTATTTTTTAAAAAAACTCTGATAATATTATTGAATCAGGTTATTTCAATATATATATTTATAAGTCGGTTAGGTCCAATATAATCGTTACGATCAAAGTTAGGTCGATTCGGATATGATCAAGATCAAAGTGTAACCCGGACTTAATATAAGTGTAACTCAAATATAATACGAGTGTAATCAAGATACATTCATCAAATCAATCAAATTTTTTTTTGTCAAAACTACTAGCACAGATATTTAATATTAATTTTTAATATTCTATGACTTTATGATTAATAATTTTAAAATAAGATATTTGTTTGGTTGAATCAATAATCGAGTATAACTTATTGAATTTTTACCTAATTTTTCTAAACTTCTCAATAAATACTATGATAAGATGATAATATATTCAATACCATTTTAAAAATTTTTGTATTAGTTTAAAATAACTAATTTTAAAAATATCATAGTTTTATGTTAAATGTGATTTGAGTGTAACTTGATTATAACTCTTTAAATTTTCATCAAACTTTATTCAAACTTTTTTTAACTGTTATGATGAGATATAATATATTTAATATTTTTTTATAAATTAATATGATTATTTTTTTAAAATAATATATCTTTTTATGTTAAATCTATGATCGAATGTAACTTGAGTATATATATATTTTTAATGTAAACTATAAGGAGAAGGAAGAGGGATGGAGGAGCGCAAGAGAGTGAGATGAGATGACGGAACTAGAGAAAGAAAGGAATGTAGTGTTAGAGTTGGAGTGGGAGATTGGGAAGAGAGGTCGAGCGAGAAGAGGATGAGTTAGAGAGCTAGGAGAAGAAGGAAGCAAAATAAGAGAGGAAGATGAATCAAAGTGGAGAAGAGTGAGGATGAGAAAGTAAAGGAGGAAGAGGAGGAGGTGGTGGTGGCCTAAGGAGATAGCAAAGAGGGGAGGGGGAGAAGATTAGGATAATTTTTAAAAATTATTATTATTTTAATAGTAATTAAATTAAATAAAAACAGTTAGGATTTAATTGATTCGATTTGATCCGATTCATTTAAAAAAATTGATTTAATTAAAAATCGATTCATTTCAAATAAAGTTAAAAAGATAATCATCATCTTTATTTTTTAATGATTGTATCATTATCTTTATTTTTATCTTTATTTTTCCGGTAAATTGACCCTTTTTCTTTTTCACTTCAATATTAATATCAAAAGCATCTGCCATCAGGGGCTGCGGATTGAACGGAACACGCGCAACACGGTGCAGCAAATCTAACCAATGCGCTGCCCCATCGCACTGAAGCATCCCTTTGTCATTATTAGTGATGACGTCAATCTCCGAACGAGTGGGGCCAAGCGCGGGGTGCCTTTACGAGACGTGACGTCACTCATCCGGACAGCCTACATCGCGTGCGATTCGCGTCAGTCACGAGCAACTTATGCCACAACGTTGTTTACGAGTTCGCTTACGAGAACTGTGTATGAAGTGGCACCCATCCGGACGTGCCCTACTTCCCGGGACCCATCGACCTTTGGACTCCTGATTTAGACACGTCGACTTCGTAGCGCCAGTCGGAAGCTCATTCTGTATCATTTTGTGGAGAGAAATACTTGGTTACCCGTTTATACGTTACTCGAATGTCTACCCGCGTAAGGATATGATTGTTTATGTGGGGTCCTTCTCCGGAGTCGCCACCACCCTGTTATTTAGGAAGGGGACTGCGGGCGAAGAGCCGGGTCGATTTCCGTTTGAGAAGCATGTAGAAGGCGGAAACTGCTGCGCTCCCTTTTCGCTCTCCCCTCACTCTCTCCGTTTCATCGAGGGTTCCAAATCTAGTGTTCCTCGTTCCATCATCCCCTGTTCTTCTCGGGCTCTTGGATTTGGTCCGGAGATGGAGCCAATCGCTTCCGTTCTGGATACGATCAAGGGTTTCGTTCAATCCGGTGAGCAATTCGTCAAGGGCGCATTCCAGAGGTGCTTCGATCCCCACCGCAAGAACCCAGTATGGACGACCCTTTTTCTTCTTTTCTCTTTGAATCAAACCCTAATCGTTGTCTTCCTTGGCATTTCTGACACCAAGATCTTTGCTTTCAAACGATCCGCTTCCATATCCAAAATTTCATTTGGTGTGCAGTGGTTTTGTGGGGCATACATGCGAGTTCATCTTCTTTATCTCTTCTAGGTTTACTTAGCCATACCGGTTTACCTGGGAAATATACAATATCAAGTTTGCAGTGTATAAAGTAAAAGTTGCTGAGTCGAGAAGGTATTCCGAACATTTTCTGGCAAGTTAGGAGAGTGTTGGAGCCATTTTGGAGTTATGATGTTTGAGTTAAAATGTCTCCTTGTGTCTCTTATGGCTCGAATCAATCTCAATTGCCCAAATGTAAATGTGTCATTGCAGTTTGTTGGCAGATTGATTTTTTCCTTTAGAAATGAAATTAGCGACAAAGTAAGATATGATTATATAGACTTGCAATTAAGTTCATGTTGTAACACTGTTGAGTTCAATTTGTTGGCTCATTCTAAAGCAGTCATCGATAACTGCAATATGTACCTTAAACTCACAACAGCCAAGTAGCCAACCTAAGTCTCTGGTTAACCTAAATGAGGTGATGAGACTAATTGATCTCTTAGTTGTTTGAATTCCACCACTCGAAGTCCTTGACTTGATTGGACCACAATATTGTTTTATGATGGTAACATCCCTCAATTATTTTATATTGTGAGACATCACGGTTATGGCACAGCAACACAGGCAAACTAGGAGGGATATTTTGTTTTTCAGTTTTTAGTAATCAAGAGATAATGGTTAAATATGAAAAATTTTAAGAGGGCTTACAAAACTTATGTGGTGGAGCTTATGTTTTTATTTTTATTTTTTTTTGAAACTTATAGCTGAATTTTTGGGCAGAGTGTAATAAGGAATGATGTGTTCTACAATATCGTGATAATTTAAAAGGTTACACTTAACTTTATCTTTTATTTTGTCTTTTTATGGAATCATTAACTCGAGTGTAACTTCTTTAGCATTCAATGCAATATTTTTGCTCTCTGATGTTTACATAGATGTTATTTGAAGCATTGCTTCTTTATTTGGGTTCTTACATGTCACATGCATTTTTGTGGTACTTTTACTCTCTCTTACTCTTATTACTTTCAGATAGAGATTTTAAAGCGTTTGCAACGGGAAACATTTTCTGATTTGATGAAGATAAGAGATAGACAAGATAAAGTTGAACGCATAATTTCTTCATTCATGTCTGGCAAAGGAAGCCCTTTCCATGAAGCTAGCACACAGTTGAAAGGGATAATCAATGTTGATGGTGCTTTGCTTTTTCAAGATGATCAGCAAGCATATCATGCTCTGGATAGTTCCAGAATAAATACTGGCATTGATGCAAGGTTTACTTTTAAGATTAATCTTAGACAGAAAGATGCTTTGTTTGCAGAGTTTGCATCTCATCAGAACACGTATCATGGCAATGGAGTTACTGGCAGCCCTCTTGTACTGTCAAAAGTGATGTATCTGGCGAGTATCAGTGACTCGCTGTCTGTGATTTCAATACCATATGGAGCTACTTGTAATGATTTCCTATATGATTCAGATCATACACAGGTAAAGTTTTTCTAGTAATGAGATTTATCTGTATGCCTCTGGAAACAATATTGTTGCAAATTGATCCATTTATAGTTTTGACAGGGTGAGTGCCTTACTGTTAGACCACCTTTGTTCAATTTGTATCATGCTTGTGCGGTCGGCTTATCTGTTAAAACATCAAATTTTGCTGCTGGTTTTGCTGAACTGTTCTCTGGTTGGAGAACAGAGATGGGTCCTGCTAGTCACAGTAATAAATTGAGCACGTTTGGGCAAATATCCTTTCAAAATTTTGGAGAAACAAGACTCACACTGTCTGGTGTGTGGCACATGCCAAGATCGTTCTCTCTTCCAATTAGGCTTTGCCGTTGTGGATCCTGTTCTAAACCAGATGAAATGGAGCTAGCATTTCCTGTCACTGGAAGGCGGTCAACAGGAAGTTCTGGTGGATCCATCTATATGTCAATAGATATTGATGAAAGTTCAAAATTTGGGGTCTGGTTTGAGGTACAGAAATTAAACCCAACTATAACAAAGTGGGCTCTCTCCTTGTCTGACATGCCAGAAAGTGAGATTGGATGGGGCATTACAGTGGAAGGAAGCTCGAAAGGACAATCTAATTCAGTTCTGTTGGAGAGTTATCTAAATTTTAGTGTGGGCAAAAAAGCCAGTTTGCAGCCAGGTCTGGCCTTTATCATTGACGAGAGAAGTCGAGCACCTGCACTGGTGTTTCGGTCTACGTGGTCTTTTTGAAATTTTTTTTTTTGTTAATGAAAGCATATCATTAGTCATGAAAGGTTGGAAATTACGGTGATTCTGAGGTTTAGTAGGCACTTAATCCTCCTGAACCAGGTTAGACTATTTATTTGTTTTTCTACAGTCTTGTTTCTCTCATAACTATTTTGTTATATACTGTGATAAAAGAAAATATCAGTGCAGATGTCATTCTTTTGTCATACAAAAATGTTCCAATATTGGATGCCCAGGATTTTTGTTATTTTAGCTCAATTCTTGTGCTAATTGCAGAACGTGTCACTGTTTCGTTTGATCAATTGCGCTCTTCTGTGAAAATGTCAGAAATTTTATGCTTTTCTGTTGACCGTCTGTATGACTGATTTTTTAGCTTACAGAGTGTCACTGCTTTGGTAAGGCACCTTTGGTCTTTTTGAGACTGTGCAATGTCAATTTAGGCAATAAATGAGCTTACTTTTATTTATTCTGCCAAGCTACCACTTGGATACTTTTTCTTTTCCTTTTATTTTAGCTTAATTTAAAAGTGGCATCTTTACATGGATCTGAGAGATGGTTATAATTCCTTTTCTAATCTTTTTGCATAGTTCTTTTCAATTAATAACTTTTAAATTTATGACTTACGATTTTCTTGTTGTTGTATTTGGACATCTGCAGTCGTAGAAGTGCAAGTTCAGGCATCAGGAATTCTTATAGTTTTTCTCAAGGAATTTTGAGTTCATGGACTGCTAGAGAATTTAAAGGATATGAGATGAACTTTGTCGGGGGGATTAAAATTACTATGCTGACTATGTTAAATATGGTCAGTACTGTCCCACATGGTCTGCAAGACTATTACCAACTTCCATTGGAAAAGTAAATTTTGGCTAATTATTTTAATTTAGCAATTTTGGCAACTCTGCTCAGATGATGTATTGGTCAAACCTGTGAACTCATTTATATTGCAAGTTCAATCTCGAGTTATATTTTTGTTAACTATAGGGACATAGTTTGTCTTTCATAATTTCTGTAATTAAGATACAATCCTCTTACAGTTATTTAGCAACTCAATGCAAATCATCGTAAAACTTGATATCGATCTACAAGAAGAATTAAATTTGTTTTCCTTTTTCTTCTTATCCTTCACGAGATTATTATTATTACCTGGATTAAGAATTAAGAAAAATTAAAAATATCTGTAATCTTAATGATTGATTGTTTTGTTTAGTTCTTATCTTTTTATTGGCGAAAATAAATGAATTAAGATAATAATTAAGAGAGTCTCTAATCAAGATATTTTTTTAAAATAATTCTATTATAATTATTTTTTATTGATTGATAATTATTATTAAAATTTAATTAAATCTATAATATATCTTACGACAATTAAATGTATCACATGTATTGTAAGTTAATTGACATTTTAAGGGATAAACTAATTGTCTTTGGCTCATAATTATATAAAGTTTTCTTTTATATTTGCCAGAAAGTTTCTTGATGTGATCTCCAACTCAGAAAAGGTCGTCATTTCTTCTTCTAACTTCGACACAGCCTGTGACTTGAATTTGATTGATGCCCATTTGGTAGATGGAGATTGGTTCGGGAATCTCTGTTTTGGTCGATCAAATTACCAAAAGTTAGCCCATTAAAATGTTACTCGTCGCAAAATTGTAATCCTAATTGTTTGTAGATTCATATATTAATTGTGATTCATGTAAATCATCATAGTCCTGTCATATTCTGAAGTCGGACATTGGAAGATCATTGCAAGGCGAAAGGAATCGCTGTGAGGGAGATAAGAGAGGCAGGCGGAATGCCGTTCCTGATGTGTTGCCCGACAAGCATTCGTACCGCAGCCCTCCAAAACCCCTCGAATCCTCCGTCTCATCGTCCTTGCGATCGAGCTCTCGATGGGTTCTTCTCGATGGTCGCTTCAGAGGTTTGGGGGTGGGCTGTCGGTGTTCTGATGCTGGAGGAAAGATTTGATGGAGATCCTTCTCGGGAACCATAAATCCTTTGGAAAATAAGCTATCTTTGGGAGCTTTAATTGCTCTCGCGTTTTCTGAAGCACAAGCTCTCGAGTGTGACATCCTCTTCTCCCATACCTTCTTGTCGGCATCTTGAGCTGCAAACCTCTGCTGATGTTTCTCTGAATCCTTCTTCTTAAGTCGGCGTGAAAATGGCATCCTGAGAACAGCTCGGGGAGCTCCCGAACGTGGCCCAACTGGCGGGCCTCAACGCCGTGCAGCTGATCGGGCTCATCGTCCAGGCGGCTAACACTGCCCGCTTGCACAGGAAGAACTGCCGGCATTTCGCGCGGCACCTGAAGCTGATCAGCGAGCCGCCGGAGCAGCTCAAGGTCTCGAGCGGCTTGAGGATGCGCCACGGCGGTCCTACATTCTGGCTGGACAGCTGTCAGAACCGGAGTTACCTCTACCTTCTTGCAATGGCTCAGAATGAGATTGATCGGTACCTCAAGATTATGGTGAGGGTTCTGGCTTTCCATCCTCTCAATTTGTCAATTCCATGTCACATATTGATTTGTTAGTCCCTACTTTTAGTATATTACAAGGTGATGCTTTGGTTTTTGGATACTTTGATGATGACATTGTGGGTGCAGTCTCTGTCGGCAGATGCTGCATGCTCAGCCTAATATAATGGGGGTTTGAAGAAGCTTGGATTGTTCTCTATTAATATATTTAAATTTCTTAATAAGTTCTCTAATGAGTCATAATGACTAAGCAAATGGCCTCAGCTTTGATGAGATAGATTCAGTATCTCTTCAGGTTTTGACGAGCTTTACTGTTGCTAACAGCATTGTGTTCCAATCATCTGTAATATGATCAGTTTTTTAGGTGGCTAAGAGAAACTTATCTGACCTTTTCCCCTTCTTCAAGGATGTTCTTTTGGCATTCTAGTGCCAAATCAAGATTTACTGTAAGTATAATCGACATGATCAACTCAAATTTTTTTCTCAAATTATTACACTAAATATTTCATATACATTCTCATATGCATGTTCTGATTTAGTAGAACCATCTCAGGGACGGAGCAGCTCCTGGCCTCAAACCATGGCATGCTTCTGGGTCCAACTGCGAGCAGTGGATTCGTATCTTGAAGAGTCATTCTTGCACATATGAGCAATCTCAGGGACCAGTGGACCATCAGGGTTTGGGTCTGCGAGCAAAGAACATACGGAGAGTAACACCTGCATCCAATCCATGTCGTAGAGAAGTTGAATACAATGTTAAAATCCAGGTATTCTCTTTTGCCTACTTGAGATTACTTGTGCATTTGGTACCTTTGAAATGATCTGAGCAGGATTCCACTGATCCTTGAGTATGTCCGAGCAGATGTTCCCATTGCTGTTGTTGTTTGGATGGAAAACCTTCGTTTTGAATGCTACTGCATATGCCATAATCTCAGTGAACAGAGGACTTCATATGAGTTTCGAGTGTTGCTGATACCCTGGGAGGCTTCAATGGAGAGTCTGGAGCGAAATGAATGGTGACAAGGAAGACTCCACCACAATAAACTCAGTGATCATACTGCACTTAGCTTTCTGATAGTTAATAAATTGAAGTTATTTTGATTCAAATTTGGAAAATTTGTACAGCAGTTTGTTTCAGTTGAGTTGCCCTGGGAAAAACTTGCATTTCCAACTTTGTTACCTTTATAAATTATGGGAACTAGTTGGGCTTCTAATTAGGAGTAAATTAGGCCCAGCACCATGAAGGCTACCATGACTACAGAAGTCGGAAATTTTAACTGCAGATTGCAGAAGCAATCTTGAATTGTGACCCGAAAACCCCAATTAAACTAGAGCACCAGACTATGATGGAAATTATGACTGCTGAAGTCAGAAATTTCGAGTGGAATAAGTTGTGACTTGAAAATTTAAGGAACCAACTTACCTGGTGGAGAGGAATACAGGAACTATAGTTTCATGTTTAGGTATTGACAATTATAGTTAGTGGCAATTGGAAATTATAGTTTCAATATATATTGGCACATAGTCGAATAATTGCTCATATATGTTTAATATTCTTTTTGTCTGTTATTGTTTTATGAAGGGATTTAGATGCTGCAAGCATCGTCAAAACAAATGAGAAATATTATTTTTTCATAGTACCAAATTAAAAAGGGACAATAATTATAAGGTTGCTCCTTTGAACTGTGGTGCTACACTTATTGAAGTTCCACGGTACCACTGCAAACCTTGGTGTCACGGTAAGGTTGCTCCTTTGAATGTGGTGAGCAAATTTTGATCATGAAAATAACTTCGATGCTTGTAGGGCGTAAAACTGGATATATTGATGCTTCCTATACCATGCATTAGCAAGAGTCTTATATGCATTGGGCTGCCTCATTTTTCTTTGGACTATGTCTTTTTTATGTGTTTGATTTTATTTTGTTATCAGATAGCTATGAACCAAAATTTACTAAAATTTCATGATATCCAGCTCGCTGGAGTTGTGGCTATTGAAACGACTGGGAGGGCCAACCATCGACTTTGTTCCAGGAAGACAGGTATTTGCTAACATGTTTCTTTGTAACTAGCTGGTTATCTGATGATTGCATATCGGATAACACTTTCATTTGTTGTACCAGGATTCATCAGTTTGCCCAAGAGAAGGATGACTTCCTGATGCTAAGCAAGGTTTAGCAAGATACCTGTTTACTCATTTCATCGTCCCAATAAATCTAGCACTTTGCATGCGGTGAATACTGAATATTTTCCTTAATTTATTATGCTTGTCATTTTGGAAACAACAAAAGTATCTCACTTTACGTATATGACTTTATTTGAACTATGTTTTACATTATCTTTCAAAGTATTTCTCACTGATTAGGTGCAATATTACATATTCAAACTATGGTTTGCAGAATTTTCTAAGCTTTTCCTTTGAATTATTTGCCATGATATTTCAATATTTCAAATTCCATGGGGGTAATACATTTGTTCAGTAGATTCAGCCTGCAATTTTTATTATATTCTGTATGGCTGAGTGTTCTGTTGTTGCATTTATTTGAAGTACATTTTTTTTTGTGGGTTGCAAAGCATTCCTTTTGTCATATTTGCTTGAAAATGTCAATACTTAGAGACCCAGTGAGCATTCGTGGTCATTTTTCAGGGAGACTAAGTTGGT